GCAGAGGCCGTTCGGGGGGGGGGGGGGGGCCCTGCCCCGGGGCCCTACCGCCTGTTTGCCTACGCCGATGCTCGTGGACTCCCCCCCCCCCTGCCTGCGAGCATCCCAAGCAGGGTGTCACACGGGCAGAGCGCCCCAGCCGTGTTGCCTACGGAGAGCCTCCGGGAGGGGGATGTTCAAACGGCTTGGTGTTCATCGGGGGATGACACGCCTCCGCCTCCGGAGAGAAATGGACAGGCTTGTCGAGCTGCAGACGTTTGGGGCGGCCTGCCCGCAACGTGGATGCCCCCCCCCCCCCCCCCCCCGCCGCCGGAAGACACCGACCGGGCCAAGGGAGCGGGCTGATCACCCCCTTCAAGGCGGGAGAGCTTGCCAGCGAGATGTTCATCGCCATCCTCCGAGCGAGGACAATGGAAAAGCGGGCGAGAGGGCGGGGAGGGGCCACGTTCGGGGTCTATGTCCTGGAACTGCAAACGCGGGGACATACCAGCGGAGGTGGGCTTCTTCGATGTGTGCTCGTGAATCGTGTCGTGTAGGACATTCGTTTTGTGTTGTGTTCACCTCGCCGCGCAGCCGACATGGGAGAGCCCTCGGATGGTCCGTTCGCTCATCTTGAAAGCTACTACTGTAGAATCGCGCTTTCGGTTTACGGCACCAAGAGGGAGTATCCTCGCGCGAGGGGGTCGAGCGGTTCAAATTAACAAAACGTCATTATGCGACAGCAATCACATCACCACAAAGGCACATGACCCTCTCGGGCCAATTAAATGGCGTCCATCCAACCCCACAATGACTGGCCATCTTCTGGGGTGCTATTTTCGCCCGACTCCTCCCGAGCTCCCGCGCGTCCCTTGCTGCCATTTGCCAACCGCCCTTGCCTGGCCTGTGGCGGCATCAGGGCAAAGGGGTGGCAGACGAGGGCGGGGCGGTCGTTTGCGAGCGGTCGTTTGCTGTCCCGCGGCCGCGGCGATCCGAGTGCCGGCTGCCCGGTCCCCCGGCCGTCAGGCTCACCAGTCGCCCTTCCGCCGTGGGGGTTGTTATTTTAGTTGCCGGTACTGTCTCGGGCCATGGAAGCGAGGCACAAATTCTCGAGGTGAGTGGCCCGAGGCGTTCCTCTCACGGTCTTGGAACATGAGTATGTGTGGGCGCGCGCGCGTGTGTGTGTGTGTGTGTGTGCGTGTATCTGTGTGTGAGAGTGTGCGGGCATGTCGGTGCGTGTGCGTGCATGTCGGTGCGTGTGCGTGCATGTCGGCGCGTGTCTGTGTGGGTTCCTGTGCAGAGGCCTGGGCCCGTGTCTTCTACCAGGCCCCTGTCACACCAGCCTGTGACGGGAGTAGCCGGTCGATGGCGGGAAGCCGCACGAACGTTCGGCGGCCACGGTGCCCGGGCACCTGCGGGGAGCGTGGCCTTGTTGTGTATCTATTTCCTGCGCTTGGTCCCCGTGCATGCCGGGGCCTCGGTCGATCTCCTGCGGCTCCATTGTCTTGCTGCGGAGGGGGGAAGGGAGGGGGCGTGTGACCCGGTCCCCTGGGGGTGGGGTGGGGGGGGGGGAGAAAGCGGGGCTGTTTCCAGTCGGCGCCATGTTGTCGCTGCTCCTGGCTCCAGCAAGTCCCCTCCGGCCCCTCGGGCGCCGGTTCGCCCCGGTGGTCCCCTCGGGGCCGGTCTTAAATCGGGGCGGGAGGGCAGAGGGCCCGGACTGGGCGTGCGACGAAAGGGGTACCCCAAGCGTCCTTGGCCATTGCCTTTGTCGAGCACTCAGGTGCTTGCCCCCCCCCCCCCCCCCCCCCCGGGGGATGATGCCCACTGTCGTCGAGACCGGCGGCGGCCCCCCGAAGAAGGGCAGGCGCCCATTCGCCAGTCGTCAGGTGCTGAGCATCCCATGCATTTGTAATGCTCATCCAGCGTGAGGCCGGTCGCTTGCCACCCACTGGGAGGTGTTCAACCGCGACAGAAGGGGCCGAGAAAGATGAGCTTTGGGCGGGGCGATGGGGGAGAGGGGGGGGGGGCCTCACATGTCGACACAAGCGGCGGACTGGGGGGTTTCGCTCAGCGACGAAGTAGGCTCATGGTTCACCCTGTTTTCGGAGGTTCCCCCCTTGGGAAGATTGTACAATTATGGACCACTTCTTGCCTCCCTCTCGCTCGGTCTCCCTCTCGCCCTCTCACCCCGCCCTGGAGGTGGCTGTTTCTCCTTCTCCCCGTCCCATGGTCCTCGATGTAAAACACCTCGTGGGAGATATGGCCTGGCAAATCCCCTCACATGGGGGGATTGCCCCAGGCCCCCCCGACAACCATGCAGATGCTCGGACTTCCACCGGCGCAGTCGGCCCCCATGGTGGCGCCGCCCGAGGCATCGAATCGTGGAAGCCAAATTGGGCGCTGGTTTCCGGGCCTCCTACAGATAGTCCCAGCTTGCTCTTCCTCCCTCGCCGGGCCATTCCCCTCGCCCCTCGCCCCTCGCCCCTCGCCCCGCAGCCCCGCACCCCCATGGTGCTAGGCGGGGTGATGGGTGGACCTCGGCTGGGCCGACCCCGGCTAGGCTGGCCCCCGCCCGCCGCCTCTCGCCCAAGGGCGCGCATATTTGGGTGGTGCTCCTCTTGCACCCCCACAATCACCAGGGGAGTCGACCCCCGCGGACATTGGCGGGCCCCACGCACTGGGTGGTTAATGACCCGGGCCGGGCCGTAGCGCCGTGAGCATGGGGGCCTCGTGGCTGTACTCGCCCCTCATCCGCCCCGGTGCCGCGCCCCCGCTCCCTGCCTGCGGGCGGACTGACTTGTCATGGAATTTATCGGCCCATATCCACACGTGCAAATAGGAACAGATGGCGGGTGGCTGGAGTCCGGCGGGGACTCCTCTGGCACGCCATGGCTCGGCGCGATACCGGGCGAATAGGATGGCGACGAGGGGCCGGCGCAGGCCGATGGAACCCCTCGCCGCGGAGGCCGGCCCCGGCTATCTGCTGGGGCCAGCTTGCTTGCTCCTGGCGCTGGGGCGCTGGCCTGCCCCCCCCCCCCCCCCTCCCCCCCTGTGAGGCCGGGGCCTGGGTCATAGTGTGCCACCGAGCTGGGAGGGCTCAACCTTTCCCTTCCGGTCGCATGAAATGCACGATGAAAAGGGCAGCAGGAAGTGTTGATCTGGCAGTCTGGTGACGAGGGGCCCCCATTGCGCCAAAGAGCAGCTCCGCCTCCTGCGCCGGAGTCAGACAAGTGGAACGGACCGGCCCGGCAGCTGCATGGTAGTTGCCCTGTTGATTGTGGGCCCCCTTTGGCGTTGGGCCAGTGGGCCTCGGCCTCCCGCGGGGACTGGCGGCGCTCTCGCCGAAGGACGGGACAACCCCAATGGCAGACGACCCTGCGGGGCTTCTCCACGCTGGCCTCGGCCCCTGCCCCTGCTGCCCCCCCCCCCTCTCCCCCGCAGAGACACACACATGCACGTACGCGCGCATGCACGCACGCACGCACGCACGCCCCCGGGGGCATCCTTTTGGCATGAGGTTCGGAGAACGCGTGGGTGTAATTGCCGGGCAGCGCATGTTGCGCATGAGCTATGCTTCCGGGCTGGGAGGGGGCGAGCCCCTCACCCGCCGAGCCCGCCCACGCACGAGTTACTCCCCGGCGACCTGGCCGCCAATACCCCCCGTCCCGCCATACGTCATCATTGTCGGCAGGCGCCCTGATCGGCACCGGCTCCCCTGCATCCAATTGCTCTCTTTCTCTCTTTGCTTCTCTCTTTGCTTCTCTCTCCCTCTCTGCCTCGCTCTGTGTCCCTCGGGCACCATGCCATGTGCGTGCGTGTGTGTGTGCGCGCACATGAATCGGTCTGTGCGTGCGTGTGTGTCTGTGTGTGAATTTATACACCCGCCTTCGCTGGGATTCCCGGGCAGCCGACGCCAGCTGCAGTGCGCCAGGCTGGCCACTGTGGGCTATTAGGCCCTGCGAGGCCTCCAGCGAGTGGGCGATTGCCTCTTTGAGCCCGGGCTCTTCGAGGCGTGGTGGCGACGGGGCGGGTGTCTCTGCCTCCTCCTCGGCCGGCCCGCGCGTGGCAACACCGCCGAGGTCCTACTTTCTCCGTGGGCGATATCTTCCCCTGGGGAAAAGCCCCAGCTCCGATGGATGGCGATCATGGCACAGTTGCCCCGTCGGGGTCCCTCCAGCTGGCAGTACTGGCAGCAGATTGATGAACAGCCAGGTAGGACACCCCTGGAGGGATGGCCCTCCTTCTGGCCATTCCGCCTCCCTCTCCTCCCCCTCCCTCCGCGCCCCCTCTGTCTCCCGCCCTCCATTGACCCTGGTGTCTTCGTGGAGTCACCCAGCCGGTCTTCGCGCCCTTCCTCGCCCCTCCGCGCATTTGCCTCTTGCCGTCGGGCCCCTCGCCCCGCCCCCCGCTCGCCCCTCTTTTTTCGGGCCGCCCATCGTGCGGGCTCTCTGCATTTCGTCCAGCTCTCCCCTCCCCCCCCCCCCCCCTCGCCGCCAAGTGACCTTGCATCGCCCAGTTCTTGGCCTTGGAGAAACTTTTCACTGTCCTGTGTATGTTCACATCTGCGCCGTACCCCATGCTTCTTCTCACAGACGGCGGCAGGCGATTATGCGGGAGTCTGTGGCCCTCTTTTTCTTTCTCCTTGTCTCTCTGTTGCTTTCTCCCGCCTCCCCCGTTGCTCTGGCACTCACAGGCTGTTCTGGCATATGCTTCTCCGAATGGCGTTTGTTGCTGCCGTCCTGCACTACTGGTGTGCCCCCC